AATTTTAGAAAGTCCGAGTCCTCCCAAGTACTAGACTACAGGGTCCAAAAGTCACTATAGTAAAAAAGGCTAAGTATGGATATCCTATCACCTTAGGAAAATATCTAACACCTTAATAGAAGTATTAGACAGGTATTAACTACTAAAATCGGAGGTTTTTTCTAGGGCAAAGTTAATGATTATATTTTCTAAACAGTTTTCGGGCCCTAAATGAACTACGGTTTTGACCAAAAGTTGACTTTCTAATCTAGGCCAGTTTTCCTGGAAAACACTAAGATTTTTTAATAAAATACTTAGGACCTAATTTGGAGTTCTAATACAAGTGAGTTTGCCTAAATTTGGAATTTTTCTACAATTAGTTATGAGTTTTCTAGGATCGGGTATTAGGAATTTTCTAAATTTCAATAATAAAATGGCTATTTTTATTGTTTTGATCCACAACTCCAAATCTAATTGGAAATCACCTCCAAAGGTAAGGGGTGCCTGAGAAGTGGTGTTTTCCAAGTGGTTTTGGAGAAGATTTGGTTGGATTTTTAATAATTTTAATGAATTATTAGGGCCAAACGATAAATTTCCCCTATGGTAAAATTAGGGGTCAACCTGAAGTCAAACTGGGAGCCACTATTTATCTAAGGTCAAGATCAGATTATGGTCATTTTGAGATATTTGGGAATTTTCCTAACCTGAAATCGTATTTTTTTTGTAATTTTTGGAAGTCTCGGGCCTTATTTAACAATTAATTGTGGTTGGTTAATTAAGAGGAGCTAAAGACTCCTAAAAATTCATAGAAAATTTTGGGAATATTTAGATGTCACTAAGTTTAAGTTTTGAAGTTTTCATGTCATTCTGGGGTCTATCCTAGTCGCTTAGAAAATTTTTTAAGTTTGGCTAGACAAGCGTCCCTTTATTTTCCGTCCTTAAGGTCTCCTACGTTCATATGGATTTAAATCGAGTTCACACTAACCCTTGAGTTAATAATGCTGAGGACATATTTAAAGAAGTAAACACCCGCATGTCCTTAAGATTTTAGGAGAGCCTAAACTAAAGCTGCTCGTGGTGTATCATATATAATGCAAACTACGAATAATAAGAAAGTAAAGACACCTTAAAAGAAAGGATTAGTGGAATGATGGGGACTCACCATTCACTAACCCCACTCCATTATCCACTGTTCACATATACGTAAGCCAAGTTTAAAAGTTTCACGAAATAGCGGATCTCCCAAATTAGGATTTAATTATAAAGTATTTTAAAATAGTTTCAAAATACTTATAAATTAAATATACATTTTGGAAATAAAATAGTTAAAAGTAAGTCAATTCATAATACATAGATATAGGAGACCCACTGACCATCTAATCGAGTTTCAATAGTTTAAAAAATAATTTTCTATTTCAAAATAAATTATTATATTTAATTATTTAAATATATTAAAATAGTCAAATTAGTAAAGAAGAAAATTGTCATACAGTCAAAAATAATTTTGAAAGTATTTTTAAAAATGAAAATGAGATTTTTCTGAAAAGAACAAGGTATGGCACGCCGGAATCCGATTTAAGATGAAAAAGATATGAATTTTCGAAGTTTAATTAACTAAAAATGAGTTTAAAATAATTTAAAAGTAATAAATAATTAAAATAATCACTAAATAAGGGTAAAATTAAAGTTTTATAATCTCTGAAATTTAATTATTTATCTAATGCATATAATAAATAATAATAATAAAAATAAATAATTATTATTATTAATAATACAAAATAATCTTAAAATAGTAATAGTAATAATGAATATTGAAATTCTTTTGGATTTCAAATAATAATAATAATAACATAATAATAATAATAATAATAATAGTAATAATAATAATAATTATTATAATTAACAACAACAAAGTAATTAAAATAACAGTGATGATAACTAAATATATTTAAAATAATGATAGTACTAATATAATAATAATTATAATAGAATAATAATAATATTTAAAAATAACAGTTTTACTGTTTTACAAATATTTCAAAATATAAATTAAATTTTAAATTAAAAATAATTTTAAAATGTGCAGAATTCAAATACGAACAAAACGAGGAGTCATGCGCGCAAAACGGACGAGAAATGAATTTTTGGTGATTTTTTTGAATGAAAATAGGTTTAAAAATCAATTTTTAATTTGAAATAACCGGCGTGTGACACGTGGCGGCTCCGGATTCGTTCCCAGAACCTTGGCAATGATTGCCGCTGTACCGGGCCACTTAGACACATAGGCGTGGTTCGGGATCCGCTGTTTGGCCCAAACACAAAACAGCAAAATCACAGCCGTTGATCTAAAGATTTTGTGCAGTTCAAAAGGGACGAACCGAAACCCTAAACACAAAAACGCCTCGTTCTCTCTCGATACTCAACCAAATTCTACGAAATTTTAAACATGAGTTCTAGACATGGACAGAAATCATGGGGGACGTTTGGATCAACTTATAAAATGCTTTTCGAAAAGCTATTTAACCCTAAGTATTGTGACTTATTCTAAGGGATTTTGAGAGATCTAACCGTCTAATTTTTGCGTTCTTGGGCTCGTTGGATTCTTTGAAGCGGCAGAAATATTTCTTTAGTTGACATCAAACCCTGGTTCTCCTTGGATCAAGCAGAAATCAGCCTGAAAGGAACGTGGTGCTCGGTTTAACCGGAGTTCTCGCCGCCGGCGGGCCTAGGACGCCGGGATCTGGTCGGGGAAGATGGGGAAACTCTCCAAGAGTGCTCCCACAAAATCTCAGAGGGTTCTAAGGCTTGGAGAGGGAGCAAGATGAAAAAGATCCCGATTTAGACCAAAATTTCAATATTTAAGGGGCCTAAACCTATCCTCAACGGTTGAGATCGAATCTCCCCATGATTTGGAGGGAAATCTTGCCTATTTGACCGTGGATTTGAATTCAAAACGAAGGGGCACTGATTAGGCATTAAATAGGCTCTTAAATCCACTTAATCGGATGATTAAGACCTATTTAGAGCCATAGTTGACCAAGTCCACATTTGACTTGGTCAAACCAGTGAAGGGGGTCCATGGGGATGAGGGATTGACCCTCGAAATCCATGAAATTGATTTAAAATTAATTTTAGGCTCTTTAGGTTAATTTGGGCCAACCCGGGTTGACTTGGTCAACCAGGTTGACCCACAGCCTGGGCCCGGGCTCGACCGACTCCAACCAACTGACTGAACCCATTGGAGGGGGTCTCGAGGTCTAACTTGGTCAATTTGACCAAGTCAAACTCTTTGACCATGAGTCTGGGCAAAATCGAGGTCAACACCTACCAAATTCGACAGGTGCTCTCAGGAATTCATCTTTGTTGGTTACTCATCCTCGCACAAAGGATATAGGTGCCTTGACATTAAAACAAATAAAATTCATATCTCAAGACACGTCGTCTTCTACGAACAACAGTTCCCTTACAAATCCTCACCTCCTATCACCTCACAATCAAAATCTTATCTATCCCCTCACTTACTGGTTCCCACATCCAACCTTCAACCTCAACCAAAACCTGCTGCTAGCCCACTCATATAATTGACTAGCACACCAACTTTCTCACCTCAACGCACTTCAGTCGAATCCTTGCTTTCACCGGGCAACACCGTTCTCATATGATGTGTATGATGATAAGTTTAGAATTATTTCCAAAAAAATATAAATATTTTTAATAATTACATCCTGGAATATAAATTTAATAACACTTATTTATCTATTAAAATGTAAATAAAACCTTACAACTATTGTAACTTGTCAATGGATTAAATCATTATTAAATCAACTAACAACTTAAAATCTTAATCACATTCAAGAATATGATAAAGACAAGAATCTATAAATTCTCCTTTCAATGATGCATAACTAATCACTATAAAATCATTAGATAATATTTTTTTATTTTTATATAAAAATATTATCTAATGATTTTATAGACATAAATATAATATGTGTGAGTTTGACGAAATAAACTCAAAAAAGGAAAAATTCACTAAGGTATAAACGATAAGGTATAAGACAAATAAAATAAAAAAGGCATGATTAATAATACATATTAGGAGTGTAACAAGTCGAGTCGAGTCGAGTAAACTCAAAATGGCGCTTGACTCGAGCTCGTTTAATGAGATCAAACTTGACTCGCTATATAAAAATCAATCTCGAGCTCATTTAAAAAGCTAGAGCTTGGCCCAATTGAAAAGCTCAAACTCAACTCGTTTATGAAGCTTGAATGTTTATTATCTTAAAAAAGTCTTAAGAAAATGGTATATTTAAATTTTTTAAAAATATATTTTAAAATTGAATAGCTCAACAAGCTAACAAGTTGAGTTAGATTGAGCTTGATTACCGACTAGAGCTCAAACTCAAAACATGATAATTTCTACTCGCAAGCTCTTTAGCAAGCTGAGTTTGAGCCAGCTCAGCTTACTTACTCCCCTCATACATATATTATATTATAATACTTATAAATACAACATAAAATGCAAAATTTTGAAATATTAAATGAGCTAAATGATGCTTGTCATGCAACATGATTCATAAGAAGGCATACCAAAATGACAATCAATGTGTTTAAATGCTAAAATTTTCAATTGCATACATTTTTTTTTGTTTCCTTGGCTAAAAGGTAGTTCTTTAACCAAAAAAATTTCTCAAAATTGCATTCATACTATATTTATACATTCATAAATAACTAATCGATCATTTATTCAAAATAATCTTGAAAATTTGGTTGATTACAATTTAATCAAAATAAAATTTAAAAGTATTTAATCTACTGAAAATAATATAATATACAAAATTGATTGATGATCTATATAATACTCATTTATTAAATAAATAAATAAATGTAAAACACATCATGCCTTTTCGCCTTACCTAGTGCACTAATATTCGTGCATCTTATAAAAACCAGACGACAAGATCTCGTCGCGATGCGCGCCCAACAAACACTCAGTTCAAACGGATTGAAATAGGCGGGTCAGAAGAGAAATGAAAACTCCACTTGCGGAGAGAGAGAGAGAGAGAGAGAGAGAGAGAGAGAGATTTGAATTCTCCGGCGAGTTGAAACTCTCTAAATATTGCTAGTAATGTCGCCAGTAGAAGAAGAAACAGCGACGCCGACAATCTCCACGGAGGATCCGGTGAGGCAGACGGCACGTAATCCGACGGCCTCCCGTCTCCTTTCTCCTACCCTTAATGTTTTTCCACTGGAATCCAACGATGATAATCTTGAGCGGGCGCAGGCCCGCGCCGCTCGCATTGCGTCTATTCGCCGCAAGTCCGTCGTCGCCGTCGGCCCTGCCTCCCCTCCTTTCCGTTCCAACCTCCTCAACCACGAACAAATCATGGATCTGCTCAACAATTGTCTCAAGCTCGCTAGCGAGAATGTTTGCGCCCCTACACTTTTCATCCCTAGGGTTTCATTTCGTGTTGTCCAGGGTACTTATTTCGCTACCACTTTATCTATTGTTGTTTTTCTTCAAGCAGAAGATTAATCAGAAGAACACATGGGAGCTGAACCTGATAGACCATCTTAGCGAGATCATCCAAACTAAACCTGAAGTGGACGATGCTGAAACCAATTTCCAGAAGGTAGCCATCCCTTTTTTGTCTATACCGTTAGGATGCATCTTAGAAATTTGGTTGATTATGTTAATTGAATCAGTTGTTTTGGTCCAAGGCAAGCTGCACTCTGGAAGCTGGGGTGAAGATATACTCACTGAGAGTTGATTCGTTGCATTCTGAAGCTTATAAGGTCCTTGGGGGGATCAATAGGGTTGGCCGGGAACATGAGAATGGTAATTTCTTATCTTTGCTTATAGGTTTCGGGACATTGTGTATCTGGGTGCCATGTTTAGGTAAGTGGATAATGGATTAATCTGTTTGTACTATAATTTTCTGTTTTGAGCATACTTCTTTAACCACATTGGGCATTATTAGCGAGATCCTATGTTTTAGGCCTACTGCCCGGATTGAATTTTTTTGTTTGTATTTGAAATTGCTTCTCCATTTTCTTCCATGGATACGCACAAGTTTGGCTCTGAAATGGAGCTACCTCAATAATTACAACTTTTCAAACTTCTTAAAGCACAGTGACAAACCTTATCTTTGCAGAGAATGTAGCTCAAGGAAACCAGGTGCATGATAGGACTGAGCAAGAAGAAAGCCTTTCCAGGAAAGATATTGAGAGAAAGGTATACCATACATACTCCAACCTTACATTCAAAATTTTTTTTTTTCATATTTTCTGTCTATAATTAGAGTTTTATACTTCTTGCAGTTGTCGCCTTTATCAACATTGGAAACATCCTTTGAGGCACTAAACATAAGGAAGTTTGATGGTAATATAAGATGTCATGGCACTTATGATTACAAACCTTTTGATACCTCTGGCTCACTGTGATGTTATATGTTTGAACAGTGGCTTTCACCGTGGATCCTCTTTACCATCAGACATCTGCCCAATTTGATGAAGGTGGTGCAAAGGGTCTATTACTAAACAACCTTGGTATATGTGGCAATTGTCGTGTTCTCTTTGATTCATTTGAAGTACCTGAGAAGTGTATCTTGAATGATACAGAGAGTGGCCAATCTGATATGATCGACTTGTCATTTGCTAAAGGTATGAATACATTTATTGGTTGTCTTCCAGGTTTTTAATTAGATATCATTGACCTAGTTTTTTGCTTCCATTTCCAGAGTATATTGACTTGATGATGATTAATATGCCTAAAAAGGCCGACATTTCACCCACTTTGAGGGACATTATGGACCAATTTGGTGACAAAAACCATAGGTTACACAATGAATTCTCTGTTGAGGAACATTCTATTGGCCATGGCGAGACAGATGATGTTGACCATCCCAACTTGGAGGGCGATTTTTGTCCGGATGTTTCTGATAACGATGATCATATAAGCGTAGTTGATGATAATTCAAGAAGTGCAAATGTAGATTTTTCCAGTAATAGAGAGGTATGCAATTTGGTTAGCCCATCTGATCATCAATGCATATATGTTATCATTAGTAGCAATGCAAACTCATCATCATCATAATCCTTGTCCCAATTTTTTGGCAGTTGAATTTTTGTTTTTATTCTTCATTTTGATCATTAACAAAGTAAATGATACTAATGCAGGACATTGCAGAGCACTCGTTTCAAGATCTAGACACTAATATCAGAGTTGACGAGATTGCTGATTTCTTGTCTTTTGGCCTAGGCTTCACTTCTAAAACAAATGCTTGGGCTGGTCCAGATTATTGGAAATACAAGAAATCTAAAGGTCACCTAGAAGTTTACAAGTTTTAACTACCAACAATATCATTGTGGTGCTCCAAATTTAACTGTGAATGTTTTGTAGGTTCAGAACAAGTTTTAGGTTCTGTTGAAAAACAAGAAACAACTACTAAAAAAGCAAAAGTAAAAAAATTAGCCACTGATATTGATTTCTCAAAATCAATTGATATGGAGTTTCCTAACATCTTCGACGCACCAAAAAATCGTAAGTCTTTGCTCTTACCAACCAAAAGAGCATCCTGCAACATTTTACTTCCAGAAGACTGTCATTACAAGCCTGAAAGTCTTGCAAAGCTATTTCTTCTTCCGGAGGTTATGGTAAGTCCATAATATAAATTCATAGGATTTTATCATTACTTCTTTTGTGTTAACTAAATCTTTTTATCTTTTTGTAGTGCTTTGGCAAGAAATCAAGAAAATTACACGGTATGCCTTTCATTGCCATCTGTTATTTGGCATTGAAGCTTTTGAGGTGACATTGGTTTTGTTTATTTACTTATTTATTTTTCATTTCCTACGTCATATTTTTTCTACAAATATGGCTTTACATCAATGTAATAAAAAGCATTAGGTGTTTTCAAGGCTATAGGAGTTGCCCAACTCTAAGGCACTAGGTGCTTGCCAACTTAAATAGGATCTAACTAAGAAATAACAATATCACTCAAAAACTGATTTTAAATATGTTAAATATTTTGGAAGAGTGGGAAGTGATAATCGTATTAAAGTAATTAGGGGAAAATTGTCAATTTTTGCATTCCATTGTATTTATATTTCAAAATTTTTGGAAAATAGATTGCCTTGAAATAAGCATACAAAACTCTTTAAGTTTGTAGCATGGTAGCATAGCAATAATATAATTTTTCAGTACTATTTATTCTATCTTCATCATCATGCATATTGGCTTCTCTATTATAAGATTTATAGCCCTTAATCTCTTTTTTTGTCTTAATACTCTTCAAGTTTTACTTTCTTAAAATTAAAAAAATTTTATCGACAATTTGTCAAATTTTTTTCAAAGCGCACACCCTTGTTATCCTTGGGCATGTAGCTGTTGACCCATACACTAAAACACGCCAAAAAAGAGGCAAAATCTGCACTCGAGCAGCGGTCGGCAGGTGCTACGTTTCACTTAAATGCTCAAACGACCTCCGATTGTTGAACGGATTGTGTCGCTTTCTGCGAATCCTATGTCGACGCTGCTCACGCTCTTTCCATGCTCTTTCCACGTTATGCTCTCAATTGATAAAAGGGAGAAGAAGCGGAGCCTTCGGCTCTGTTTCCAGCACACAAGCAACTGCTCCGATCTACACAGCCCTTTTGATCCTCTCTCGAACTCTCTTCAAAATCCTCTCGCAGCCCTTCACCCAAAGTTCGACCGATCCTCCACTTCAACCAGCTCGATCCAGCCGCAGGTCAAGTATACCTCACAATCTCTCCCTCGTCTTTCACTGTTTTATGCAGAGAGATCGAGCCAACGGACCTCCTTTGTCCGATCCCTGCTCGTCTTTCCTCGATTGACCCCACTACGATCGTCTGACCTTCCCTGTTGAGCTCCCCACGCCTAGATGCACTTGATTCTAGCTGAATACCATCTCTCTAGTTATTTCGATCTGGCATAACTCCCTCACGGTCAGAGCCGGCCTGTGCGCAGGCCGAGAACCATCAACCTCTCTCTGCCCGATCGACACCTTGTTCGCAGTCCTGTGCTGATCCGACCTCCACAGCTTTTGTAAATTTACGTGCACTCTCAAATATTGTTTAGCCTATATAATTAGAAACTCGCTTAACCTTTCTCTTTCATTCTTATTTCCTCACTTCTTTTTTCACCTTGGGTGAAAATCTTGCTGGTTATTCCTCTTATATATATAAACACCACTTCACCTTACACCTATAGGCATGCACGCATGTTGGTTTCTCTTAGAATATTCCTCCATTACATTAATACTCGGTTCTTTACCTTTCCGTCCATGTCAAGTCCATGTATGTTTGCCCTTTGGCTCCCATTCCTCCCTTGTGCCTGAGGTTTTGTGGTATTAGACTGTTAACTTTTTTGTTATTAATTTCAAATAAACAGGGTCATCTAGATTACCTCATAAGTTAGAACTGATTTTGACCTAATTCAAATTGTAAACCTCAATGGTTGGCGGTTTGAGAGCAATATTTGAAAACTGTTTGCATTCATAGATTTATAGTCGTTTGTTATGCTGTTGAACCTCTATTAGGAAGTATCAATTTGTAACAAGAATGCTCATTGTCTGCTATCAATTATTTACCTTGCTTCAATCAGTTTTGATTATGATACGCTTTTAATGTTATACCAAGTTTTACCATAATACCACCTATGTACTATGTAAGCACAATGGTCGAATAGTTCCTGGTGGTGTTGGTAGTTAATGAACAATGGAGAAATAGTTCCTAGTGGCGTTGGGTGTTAATGAAGTCATTCTAACCTACGCCTCAAAACTCTAGTAGACACCTAGAGTGGTATATAATTTCACCAATTCTTGAAACATTAAAGTTCAGTGTAAATTTTGGACAGATTTGATACTATGTTTGGAATTTGTTACACTGCAATTTTCACCATTTGTTTTTTCAGTTCGTTGAAAACGTGCTCAAAACTGTGCTTGACATTATTTTTATTTCTGAGTTGATTGTCTGGCTCTAACATCATTGTAGTTTGCTATGTATTTCTTGGAGTAAAATGTATTGAATATCTTATTTGCTTGCTTTTCATGATAGCTTAATAGAAAAAGGAGCTTCTATATTTTTTAAAAGAAAGTTGAATTATGTTTTTTGAAGCTACTTGACCATAGTAATTTCATTTAAATTTTTATTTGTCCAACAACGTACATTTGGAGAGTCTAGCTTTGATCTTTCCATCACGGACTAAGTTGAATGAAATTTGATAGAGTTTAAACTTCTCACCAATTGAATATGAGAAAGCACTTCTTGAAAGCTTGTACATATATGTCACTTGACTTTAGATGAACCGGGAGAACCAAATGATGGTGCATCGTGGGACAAAGAGAGTGTCAACAATGATCAGTGTGATGATGGAAATTTTAATAGTGATATAGATGATCCAGGAAGTCTTGTTCGTCTGCCAAGACAGGTTTGCACCTAACCCACCCTTACATTTGAATGCAATATTTAATAAAGATTGTTATAACATGTTTACGTTAAATGCTCTTTTCTCAAAATTTTATAGAACATATAATGATGTTATTTTGGTATCATTAAATCCTATCCTTATCACTTTGATAACTATCTCACTATCAATTAAATCCTACATTTAAATGGGGAAGCATGACATCACCATATGAAATATGAGGTGGAAGATTCAATATTTGGCAACTCATCTCACACCCAAAATATGATTTAATCTTAACCATACATCTCATCAATGTTCTGCACACTTCCAATGGACATATGGCATCATATTAAAAATTGAGAAGATGACATCATTGCTTCCATCTTCCTTTATTTACGAAATGGCATAATTCTTAAAAAAATTTCTCAATAATAGTTATCAACAAATATAATTTGATAATTAATTCACAGAATATTATTTTTGTAATGTTATTCTTAATGAACCATGCTATTAAATATTTATGATGAAATTATTATGCAAAAATAATTATATATATTCATATATAAAATTATATCATTTATAATGATTATTCTTTAAATTTTTTTGGTATTAAAATTGTCTTTTTTTAAAAAAAATTTGGTACTCAAAATTACCTACATAAAGTTTTAGAAGTTTTTACATCTTGTCTATTTGTTTTTCTAATCTATACCTCCATTTGAACTTACCAAAGGGATCCTTTTATTTTTAAATTACTTAATATCGAGCTTTTTGAAGTCATGTTACGATTGACCACAAACTTAGGATTTTAATACTCATTGGTGAAATTTTTCATCTATCCACTGATTGAGATATTTTGTGATCGAGCACATTATAGAAAATAATATATTATTCAAATGATAAAATTATTATTTTATTATGGACTATATAACAAAACTCATAATTTTTTATTTTAACAGAAAATTTCCCCTATTATGGAGGTCAACCTTAGAGTTTAAAGGTTTTTGCTTCAGTAGATCTAAAACGAAATATATGGATTGTAATTTTAGTAGTAATAGACTAGTGAGGGGATTGTGACTTTGGGCGATCGAGTCATTAATAAGAGTACACATTTTAGATATCTTGGATCTATTGTTCAGAGTGATGATGAAATAGATGGGGATATTATCAGCAGAATTCAAGTTAGATGGTTGAAGTGGAGGAATGCATCGGGCTTGTTGTGTGATAGAAAAGTATCCCTCAAACTTAAAGGGAAAATTCTATAAGATGGTGGTGATGCCTGCAATGCTTTATAGTGCCGAATGTTGGCCATTAAAAGAGAAGCATAATACTAAGTTAAGTGTGGCAGATATGAGGATGTTCAGGTGGATGAGTTGCTTTACCCTTAAAGATAGGATACAAAATGAACATATACGTGAAAAGGTTGGAGTAACTTCAGTAGAAGATAAGATTAGAGAGAGTCGCCTTAGATTGTTTGGTCACATAAAACGGCGGCCTTCTGGGACCTGGTTAGGAGAGTAGAGGTATTATATTTAACTTATGTTAAGAAAGGTAGAGGCCAACCTAAAAAGATTTGGTTAGAAAATATTAGGAATGCCCTTTCTTTATTAGATTTAAACGAGAATTTGACTTTTAATAAGACACAATGGAGAAAAAGGATTTATGTAGCTGACAACATGTAGTGGGATAAAGGCTTGATGTTGTTGTTGTATTTGTTATAGAAAATTTCCCCTATTCAATATTCGGTTGAATAAGATTTATTTTATTCTCGAAAATCTCTATGGTTAATTACATCTCAAGTATTTGTTACTCAAAATATTTTTGATTAAATTAATGATTTTTTTAGAGTCATCAAAATATTGACTAATATTATTTTTTTAGTTCGAGAAATTCTTGTTCAAATATTTAGTCTTTGAAAATTTCAAGGGAGATGTGATCAACTTTAAATCAGATTTTTAAGAATGTTCAAAGGTAGAAAAATATGAGAGTACTTGATTTTGAGAAACTCAAAGATGCTCAAATTATCTTATGTTGAGTTTTACATTTTAAAATTAATTTTTTGTTTGAGTTAATCAATTTGATTTAGAAAGTTGAGTTTTGTATTCCAACAACATAAGTTGAAGGAAATGCTTGTAATATGAGGGCTTATAAGGCTACTAGAGTCAACATCAGTCTCGGATCCTAGATTTAAGGTAAAGATTATTGAGGGATAGTACCTTGAACTTATGTCTAACAGAATGCAAGATACTTACAAACCTACACCTCACTTGAGGTTAAGTATGCCCGAACTCTAGGCTTACACAAAATAATTTTTGATGTGAGGATTTTTTACATAAAATACTGGTCATGCATGATCATTTTGTTTTTGAAAACTTGGCTCATTAGAGCGAGTCATTCAATTTTTTTTTTTAATTTGAAAATTGGTTAACCTATGATTATTTTAGATTGTTTATACTTTAATTGGTAAAAATTTAAATTTTGTCTTAAGAACCTATCAAATATCACATGTTTAGGTCACTCTCACTCAAAATAAATGAAGAAACCCAAGAAAAAGCTTACATTTATAATGCGCACTCAATAATATATATATATATATATATATATAAATCATAGAAAAGTAAAGTCAACCATAGAATCGACCTGTGAGTCTTCAAGCTTGAGTTTCTAGATGTTATTCGAAAACAACTGCGCCAGCTATTTGATGAGTTATTTTATGTGTTAACTTAAAAAAAAAGAGCTAACTTGGTTTATGCACCAGTTCTCATATCATTCTTAGTTTGATATAGAGGAAGTCATTCGAGGGTAGGTTCATTTGTTCCACTTGTTTTTTTCAACTCTATTAAGGCCTTCCTTGAATTAATTAAGTTCTTTTTTAATTGTTGTGGATTGAATTTGCGCAATAAAAAGCAATAAGATCAAATGATTTTTTTTGTTTGTGGGGTTGGGGTAAGTGTGGCTAATTTGAAGAGAGTGGAGATGAGGAGAGAGGGAAGTTCTTGAAGAGATAATGATGTCATTTCAATATATAGGAGTTAGAATCTTTTTTTATTTCCTATTTTCTTGAACTAGCGGAAAGGTGCAAAAAAGGATACTTTATATATGATTTTATCGAGTATTTATTGGTTTCTTTAATTTGCAAAGAAGAAAGCTCTCTCTTGTAATTCTTTGGCACCGTTATCAAATCTAGGCTATTGTGGGCTCTAAAAATTTTGTTGCTCCAACCAATATGTATGATTTGAGGCAAGTTTTCATGAATTTATGTTCCGGGATAAATTTTCGAAAAGCATATTTATTAGAGATATGATACTACTCAGAGCTTTTACCCTCATTAGTGAGGACTTTAAGATTTAGGATTTGATTTTTTATAGGATTAACATCTTTTGAGGTGTAAACCTCCATATTAAACTATTAAATTAATAAAAAATATGAAATAATAAGTATCATAGTAACATCAAAGTAAAATATTAAATTAAGACTATAAAATGTTAAAATAAGACCATGAAAAACAATATAATGCTACAACTAATACTACGTAAATAATGTGCCTCTCACTCACAGTTCAATATAAACAAATAGTCTAATATAATGATTTATGAATTTAGAATTCCCCTCTCTCAACACCTAGGGGATCTTCATTAAAATTATCATTATAATTAATTGTTTTTTCTCTCCCTCATAATAAAACTAAGGAAATGAGATTCCAACAATAAGAAGAGAGGTGTTGGAAGAGAGGTGTTGACGGTTAACTTGTGATGGAGATATAGCAAGATTGGGTACGAGTGTTAAGGTTTTGCTCCATGTGTCTAGAACTTTGAGTTTGTGTAGTTCTTCTCAAATTTAATTTGATTTATATATAGTAAATTTGTTTAATTATATATAAAAAATTTATAATTTTATAATTTTAAAATAGTTTAAACTCTAATTTTCAATTCTTAAGTTTCTTTAACATTGCTTCGAGGCATGCCCCAACCCAACTAAGGCGCATGCCTCATCTGGAAAAATTGAGGCGTACCCATAACATTTTTTTTTTAAATTGTGTTGAGGCTAGCCTTGAGTTGGGCCTCTAATTGAGCATTTTAAAATTATGGCTTATTTTATTTTTATACGCTATTTTTAAGATTAAAAAAATATAATATTGTGTCCAACTCAAAATTCTGTCCTACATTTTCAATAATTGATACGTCTCATATTATGTTATATTCGTATATGTGCATTATAGCTTCCTATATAAAAATATAATTCCTTTTGGTTCAGAAAGCTTCTTTTGCATTCATTTTGAAAAAAAAAGCACATTAATGAAGCCTGATGCGGGCAAAAGATACAGGGAGCCTATACCCTTCGCCCACAAAGGAGACGACGGACTTCTAACGACGAAAATGAGAAAAGAGACGAACAATAGGGAAGAACAAACTCTTATATTTCAATTTTAAAACTAAATAAAAAAACTATGACGACGACTTACAAACAACACAACAGAAACCCTAAAGTTGCTGCACTTTGAGAAGAAGGATACAGGTGGAGTGGCACTTGCGGAGAGACGAAAGAGATTAGAAGCCCGAGAAGAAAGGGTGGAAAGAGCCCGCAGGATTTCCGGAGGAGATGAGAAAAGAAGGTTGGAAAGAGCCCGCAGGATTTCCGAGCAACCCGCAGGTTAACAGATTTTCCAAAAATCAAATATCATTCAACTATTTCAAACATAAACAATCCCCATATTTATAGTATGAAAAGAGAATACAAAGAGACACATTACATTAATTTTGACACAATAAACTAAGCATAAAAAGCATATAGAAAAACTTCCCCCCAAGCTCAGGTTTACACACCAAACCAGGAACCAAGAGACAGCCAAGGAGACGAAGGAAACGCACGACCGAGAGAGACAGCCGCGGGAAACGAAGGAACCGCAAGGAAGAAGGAGCCGGCCGTGAGTTCCCAAGAGGCATAACACAAATTCTAACAAACCTTGGAGGAAACCAAGGGGTCATAAATGGGAAAATAAAAAGCAAATCTTGGAATTCCAAAAGCCGGTTTTGGGAATTCCAAGAGACATCATA